CCCCAGCCCCATGATCCGCTTGCGCAACCCCTGCAAGCAGTCCCTGCACGGCTCGCTGCCTGGTGCTTCTGGGAAACGAGCAGGCACAGGGGCTCCTCTTGCCGCTTGGCTGACTCATGGGGACTTCCAGAGCTTTAGTAGCTTGACAACATGTCTGAGGCAAAGGAAATACAAGGCCAAGTGTTTGGGATTGCTCAGCTCCCGCAGATTGGTGGGAGCTTCCTGGGGGCTGCGCACAGGCAGGCGCTGGAGGAGGGATGGGTCGAAGGGTGAGATGCTGGAAAGCCCCCAACACACCAGCTGGTTTCCAGTTAAACACAGTCAGACAGCAAGGCACTTACTGCCTTAGTCGTAGCCATGTGCCTAATGTTTGTTTTTGTGGTGACCATAGACTATCCCTTTCCTCACAGCAACGCAGACAGGCCATGGGACAGACTCACCCAGGCAAGATTTCTGCTTGCACTTACCTGAGGTGTTACCTGGGGTCACGGGGGTCTGGACTTAACCCTTCGCAGCTCCCACCGGTGCAGCAGCTTGGCTAAGTGAGGCTAGGAAAGGGTGCTGCGGAGCTGCCCTCAGAAGGGTCTTCTGTGGCAGGGGGAACCCCAGTAGCTAATGGGGACCTTCTCCACCTGCCTGTTGCAGTCATGCTGAAAGCAACACCAGGCAGCGGATGTTGTTTCCCTCAGCTTTTGGCGCTGTCTCCCATAGCATCCTCATAGACGAGATGACAAAGTCCAGGTTAGATAAGTGGACAGTGAGGTGGGTTGAAAATGGGCTGAGAAATGTGGCACAAAGTCCAGCTGGAGGGCAGTCACTAGTGGTGCATCCTCAGCGTCGGTACTGGGGATGGTTCTGTTTAACATCTTCATTAATGACCTGGATGATGGGACAGAGTGCACCGTCAGCAAGTTTACAGGTGATGCAAAGCTGGGAGGAGTGGCTGATAACACCAGAGGGTCATGATGCCATCCTGAGGGACCTGGAGAGGCTGGAGACATGGGCTGAGGGGGACCTTGTGCAGTTCAGCAAGCAGAAGTGCTGAGTCCTGCCCCTGAGGAGGAACAACCTCAGGCACCAGGACACGCCAGGGCTGCCCTGGTCAACACCAAGTTGACCATGAGCCGGCAACATGTCCTTGCGGCAAAGGCGACCAACAGTGTCCTGGGTTGCATTAGGAGGAGCATCACTGCAGGTCAAGGGAGGGGATCCTTCCCCTCTGCTCAGCACTACTGAGGCCACACCTGCAGTGCCATGGCCAACGTTTTGACACCTAGCCTGAGCTGGCATGCATGGCCAGACAAGGACATGAACCCTAGTCCCCCTCAAACAACCTGCCTGTCATTCTCTGGATCTGTAGACCATGCTCAGGCTCTCCATCCCACTGCCTGAGGAACAAACGCACCTTGAATGAGCCGCTTTGTCCTTGTCACTGTCTCCCCATTCAACCCAGACCTTATGACAACAGATTTTAACGTGGCTGATGGTGCAGTTGGCTTTGTGGCTGATAACAAGCCTCTAGCAGGACTCCAGCCATCCAGGAACCTGAACCAGGCTCTGTCTGCACCAGGGGAAGTAGCGAGCCATGACCAGAAAGCGGCTCGTAGCAAGGGTGAGTCCCAGAGCTCAAGGTGAACTAGACCCAAGGATGGGCTTGGTGTGGGGGCACATGTGGAGGGAGGCAGGCATTAGGATGCTCTTGAAGAGGTGAAGGGTTGCATCCGGGACAAAGGAGTGCTGCGGGTTAGGTGCCTGAGGGGAGCATGGGGAGAAGCAGGCGATGGTGCTGTGTCCCCTCCTTCTGACATATGTTCCTTTGGCTCCTGCCCCCCACGCTGGACCCATAGACCCTGCGTGCTCATGGCATTCCTTTTTTTTTTTTTCCCAGGAAATACAAGCACTCTCCAGGAGGATGTCCCTGACCGATTGGTGAGTGGAGGTGCCTCTCTGGTC